ATAGATAGATAGATAGATAGATAGATAGATAGATAGATAGATAGATAGATAGATAGATAGATAGATAGATAGATAGAGAGAGAGATAGAGAGATAGAGAGATAGAGAGATAGAGAGATAGAGAGATAGAGAGTTGGAAAGATAGAGAAATAGATAGATAGACAGAAGGGGGATGCAGGATTAAATTATTGTCACCAACGTATGTCCTAGAAAAGTTGGTACAAAAGCTATCTTAATAAAACCATGAGACTCTCTCGATCAACAGATTCTGATGCACCTACGTACAGGAAAACTGTCAACAAAAATATACCAAAATCAACCAAAAAGCTGTTTAGTTTAGTAGGAGTTTTACAGCACTTGCAACGCAATAAGGTCATATCAGTGCCGAAGATTAGAAGTGTTACAAGAGAGTAATACAAACAAACAAAAAACGGAGGAGAGAGAAAGACGATACTTTTTCGTTAAGAAAGAAGCAGCAAACCACACCACAGCTCCCACCAACCATCCACCTAAAAAGCTGTAAACAAATGTTAAGAAAATTAAACCTAAATATGTCAATAAAGATAGACAGAAACTTGCTAAAAATGTCAACAAAAAGAGACAGAAATGTTCTAACATTTCAGAAAAAAAGAGAGCAGTTCATAAAGATTTGACCAAAATAATTTAGAAGTTAATTTTTTTTTTTATTTGAAAAAATACATAGAACCCAAATAACGATAACAAAAATGAATACAATTCACAATAAACACCCCATAATTGTCTAATGAAAACATGCTCTTTGAAAGTGAAGAAATAATTACGTACCTCTCGATTATCTTACAATAATATGAATAACTTTAGCTGAACATAGGTATTGTGAAATAATATATTATTGTAATTTATCTTTGATTTTAAGAAGTTGCATGATCCCTGACTCCTAAAAAGCATTAAATTCACTTAAAGGAAAGGACGAGAACTTAAGCATGTGAAAAAAAAATAACAAGTCTGAGTGTTGTCAGAGAAAATAAGGAGACAGCAAAATAGAACGTCCATTTTGAAATGTAAAGATTTCGGGCGGTACGGGATTGTGGTCACTTATATTTTTATACTATGCTATTTTTTAGGTGCTTCTGTGTATGTGTGCGTGTGGGGGGGATGTGTGCTTCTTTGTGTGTGATTTGTGTGTGTGTGTGTGTGTAGGTGTTTGTGTATGTGTGTGTTTGGGTATATGTGTGTGGGTGTGTGGGTGTGTGTATGTGTGTGTGTTTGTGTCTGTGATTGTGGGTGTGTGTGTCTGTGATTGTATCCAGGTGTTTGTGTGTGTGTGTGTGTGTGATGTGTGTGTGTGTGTGTGTGTGTGTGTGTGTGTGTGTGTGTATGTAATGGTGCGCGTGTGTGTGTGTACATTTGTATGTGCATTTGTGTGCGTGTGCATTTGTGTGCATACAAATGGTTTTGCGTTGTATAATATTAAACAAATGACATGTATGTGTGTGCAAACTATGTCAGTGTATCTGTGCGTATATGAATTCAAGTTTGTGTTGTGTGCATGTTTGTGTGTGTGTGTGTGTGTGTGTGTGTGTGTGTGTTTGTTTGTGCATGTGTGTGAATGTATTTGTCTCCATGTTCTTCCCTGAGTGGCTCTGTATGTCTGACCTGTAGCTCGCCTAGTTCGCACCGTGCAAACGAACGTATACAATACCCTGTGCCTGAGCAGCGTCGCTGTATGGTCTATCTGTTGTCAACTGAGCTGCGAGACGCGTCAGACGTGCTATTCAACAGTGTTGTTAAAATGGCGGGTATGTGTAGCCTCGCTTCGTGTTTATATTCGACTGAAACTCTTTACAGATCATCAAAATCAACAAGAAGTAAGTAATATCAGGTGCTTCACTATTAAATATTGATGCTAGCATCAACACTTGACCACAAAATCACCAAGAAATGCACTTTATCATACACTGAACTTCGAATCAAGAGGTTGACCTAGTTTCGACTGTTTGTATGCTATGCCCTAGACCTAGGCCTAGATCTAGGCCTGTGTGCTTCTCTAGATTCTAGGCTAGATTTAGATTGAGATGCAGAGGGATGTCCCTAGAAAGGCCAAGATTTTAGATATAGATCTATATAATAATTTACATCGGATCTAGATCTAAATTTATAATGTTCACCCCAGAATCTATCTCGACTTGATCAATTCTCAATATCTGGTGTGCTATGTCCGTACATCTAGAAGTCTAGATCTAGATCTAAGTCACTCTAGATCTAGATCAAGGCCTAAGTACCCCTGTCGTAATTTTTACCTGTTTCTTATTTAGATCTAGATCTAAATCTAGATTCTAGATCTAAACTGAATTTAAATTATATTATCTCATCTAGATCTAGGTATCTAGATCTAGGTATCTAGATCTACAGATAGATTATCTTGGCTATCTAGAACTATAGATATGCAGATCTCGAATCTAGATCTTGGTCTAAATCTAGATCTAAGTTCACACCTACATGACAACGTACGTAAACATTAAACGGAACCGCAATTTTACAGGTGCACCAAAAAATGCCATTGGAGCAAGCACAGAAGCTTAAGTAGATCTAGATCTACTGTTGATATGATATTATGAATCAAGCTGCATGATAGTGTGGTGTCTCAACCAATTCACAGGCAAGTATAGCCTTATCAAGAGTCGCCCTTCGGTCATTCGCCAACCACTAGATCTAGATCTACTTTACGAACGGCACACTCTTGGCTGGGTGAACAGCACAATCTAGATTCTAGATCTAGATATATCTAGATATATCTCTCGTTTATTCATTAATATCTCTCTCTCTCTCTCTCTCTCTCTCTCTCTCTCTCTCTCTCTCTCTCTCTTCCA